ATCTTCTTAACGCATCTGCAGCGAGCCTGCGATGCGTTTTGGATGGCTTCCACCGCATTGCCGACACGCAGGTACGCCTGCGTCAAGAAAGTCAACCCTACATGTTGTAGTCTTGGCATCGCCCGTCCCACTGTCTACGCTGGCCCCTACAGTGCCCTAGAGGTCTGCACATGGGTCGAGGATCCTTCCCACTCTCTAACATTGCCTCGGCAGCCACGAGCTTCCATGCAGCCTTGCTTCGGTTGTCCGAGGCGGCCTGCCAAAGCGATGAAGCGATTGATGGGAGCATTGAAGATCTAAGTACTACGAGTACAAAGCGATTATGCCATAAATTAACCCTCTTGTGGAGGATATGCGCCAGGGCTGGCAGGGTCAAATCTTGAGGGATCATGGCTTGGGGTGTCGATGAAACTTCGACAAGTTCATCAACAAAGAGGAACTCCTGAGAACGCTTGCAGGAGACCACCAAAGCTGAAGGGAAGCCAAAGGCACATGCAGAAAGTGCATGAATGTGAGTTTGTTTCTGACCCTGACTCACTTTCCCACAGTGAAGAAGCTTGAAGGGTAGGGAAGTTTGTCGCAGTTCCACATGAGCCTCGGTCCGGTAGAGCCCTCAGGGCATCTTGACTATGTGTGTTGAGGTTTGGGGTCTTCGCCGAACTCCGGGGCCCTGCACCTTGATTTGTGGGTGTAGGGTTTGGCTTTGGGGGCTTGCTGGGTGCGCAGAGCAGTTTTGCATCAGAACAGTTTTTGAATCCAGGCCGAGTCTGTTCTCTGTACAGGTCCTCGAGCGCCAAAGGTTGGGATCAGGGAGGTGACTCGGAGTTCCTCAACTTCCAGCAAGCCCAGGCGTTTGGTTAGCCTCTACCATTCTCCACTTTGCCTAAACAAGAGAGATCCTATTCTAGGTCTTGCTTTTAAGGCTCGTGATGGCCCAGACATGCCCAGGTGGCAGCTCGAGCCGCGTAGATGGGCCACAGGGCCACATGGGGCTTCTCATGGTCCTCGTGCCTACGGAGGCTATGGAGGCGATACGCTTATAAATTTATATTTCTGGAGACTGTGATGCCCCCCCTGAGAAGCCCCAAGGTATTGTGCCTTAAGGGCCTGATGCAGGAAGCGTTCTTGTTTGCTGGGCCTCGCCTGGTGTTTACATTCAAGGTTCGGCTGCAGGATCATCGGGAAGGGTCGGCATGCCTGCGGGACCCAACATATCTTCCCGCAGCAGGGCTTACTCGTCTTTGTGAAAATGGCAAGTCGTTGCAGGCTGTCCAAGCCTGGTATGGGGTTTATGAACTTCGGCTGAAGTTCTTGGGTAAACCATCGAGTCAATGTCCATTGCCATGGCTCAGAAGATTCAAGACTGCGCATCTTGAAGCCGAACAACTGCCCGATGCATTCCAAAAAATGCCATGAAGGCAAGTCCTGTCTCCCATAGCGTGCCTTGACGGCTACACGGATGGCTCCCAGATCACCCCTCCAGAAAACAGAAAGGGACGCTCCAAGAAACGAAGTTCTCCCTTGCCCCCCCCCCTTTTAAAATTGGCACCATTGGGCGTGAAGAGGAAAACCTCTATTTCCTCAGTACTTCAACAGTAGAACATCAAAACCTCTGATTCCTGTGCATACTGATTGGAGAACCTCTAGCTCCTCGCCGTGTCACAAATATCAGGACTTCTTGGCTTCAACGCGGGGCACCCGACACAGCAGCTTCGGTGCGGCTGCTTCCCGAAGTCCCGCGCCCGCTTGGGCGCGAGCCCCGAGCTTTGGCTACGAGGGCTTGTAAGTTGCCGACCTCCCGGGACTCCAAAACCCCCAGACATGTCCCCCTTCCCACCCCCTCGAACAAAAAACAGAAAGAAATGCGACATTTTTACTGCGTTTCGCCTGCAAAAGAATGGGTGCGCATCAGCAGCATCAGCATCGAGTGTGGGCAGGGGTCCGGGACTTTTCAACCATAAGTTAACACCCAGGTCAGGCCACAGCACCAGCCACTCACAAGATAGGACGCTGCACTTTGGCCATCCATAGACTAGACCTGACTTTCGACTTTACTTTCTTGTGTTTGTTCATCTACTTCCAAAACAAGCTCTCCGTTTCTTCTTCTCTTCATTTGTTAAGAAAATCTGCTGAAAGATTCTCAGACGCTCGGGAGAGGGCTTCTTTGACAAAGTTCCTTCGCTAGGATGATGATTTTCTTCATATTTCTGCCGGATGATGCGGATGCTACGGGAGCCAGGAGTGTCCGGAAAAAAAAACAATGCAAGAGTGGACATGCCAGCTCCCATTGGAGGTGCCACGCAAGAGCTGCCCGTGCTCACGACGAAAAGACAGCCCAAGCTATTCAAGCATTTCAATTGTTGTGGAGCTACACCCATGACTTGTCAGGTTGCCGGACACTCCTCTACACTTCTACAGAGCACATGAGTATGCATGCAGCACCTCTCTTTCACAGGAGTCTGAAAGCGCGGGTGGGGTGCCGAAAGACAGCCACGCAGTTCTGCAGGATAGGATGGTAAAACGCATATCGGAGTATCGCAAAGCTGCGTTGTACATCTTTACAGCTGGCTGCGTCTTCCAGGCACCCAGAACATCCCAGAACCGGATATTCAGAAGGCAGGTGCCACGCTTGATTGTCCCATGCTGAGATGAGACACCATGTACAGCGTGCTTCAAACAGGAGATCCCAGTCCGCTTGGTGGACGCCTCGTGATCTTGGACTGCTCACACTCAGGTTCGCTTTCTGCTTGCAGCATCTCATCCGACAAGCTAAACATTAAATCTTAAGGAATTGGCTCGCGCAGAAGGATGGAGGCTCAAGAGATCTCAAGAGGCTCTTGAGAGGCCTCTGTGATCCTCCTGGCCCCGCACCCTCACTGCCTCGGCCACTCAGCCACTGCCTCGATCAATGCGTCGGGGGAGGCATATTCCAGGATATGTTTTGCACAGTTTTGGCCCGGACGTATGCCCTTTGATTGCTGTTGGGCGCTGGGATTGGGATTCCGGATGTGCCTGGGCCTGGTGTACACCTGGACATCCTGATTTGTGGGCTGCGCCGCACACAACCGGACGAAAATCCATCAAGGGCGCAGGTTGGACCCTCAACATTTCTAAAGCGCCACGTCGCATATGAGTCGGCCGTCAATGCAGGTATCCACCTGAGCCGGCATTCGCGCCAACGCATCCCCAAGCCTGGCTTCCTGCAGCCATAACGGCTGTAGACTACATGATACTGTTTTACTAAATTTCCTGAATGATACGACATGAAACTGGTACGAGTTGCAAGCTTGTCTTGCTGCTTCTCAGCTGCTGCCGTTCACAGAGTCAGCGCGGTCTGTGTCATAGGCGGGCATGCCTGGCTACCAAGCTTAGCAACTCCATCAACTCCTTAGGCCCCCTTGCATCACGTTTGGACTCCATGAACTCTCAGGACCGTCAGGACCGTCTCTCAGGACCGTCTCTCAGGACTCCCTAAAATACTCCTATAATCCCAAAGTGCTGCGGCCAAGAAAGCGCAAACCACAGGCCGGAAGCACGGTAGTACCACGAAAGCGCCAGTGGAAAGCCATTGAAGTTGGACCCGGCCTTTGCTAGGCCAGCTTGGCTCTAAGGGCGTTTACTGCGAACAACAGGAGCATCCAAACCCCGCCTGCAGCTTGTTCAATGCCGACGCCGAGTTTTTGCACTTTTCGGGAGGCTGGAGGGGGATGTGGTGAGGAGAGCGAAGTGCAAGTGCAAGACAGGCCGCTGCTGATGTATAGGCGCCCATGTTGCGCCACAAAATCCAGTCGCCTTCCTGGAATGGGCGCAACGAAATCATCTGTTGCACGTCACAGCACGTGTTTCGCCTGAGTCTGTTACCCACAGCCGAGGCTGTTTCTGGGGAACTTCGGATTCTGGTCGGGACTGGAGATCGAAAACCTCTAATGATTTAGTCCTGTTCTCATACCGCAATGCCAGCTAGTGATCTCCCTTTCAACCGCACGGCGTCGGGACACAATGGGAGCCTTGATCGCCTGCACCCACTCAGAACGGCCGAAAAACACACTGAAAAACAACATGTTGGCCCCAAACTCCTCACTTCCGAGTCTTGGAATTGAGAGACCCAACACCGACACCACCAACATGCAAACACCCATGCGAGTGCCACTTGCAACACGCCCAAAGCCTTCGACCCTCAACCCTGAACCTCTACTCTACCCGCCATGAACAAGCGAGCTTCTTCAAGTTCTGCCATGCGATGCTTCTCGAGTACGACGTCGAAGCCTCAGGCACGGGCACAAGCCCGGAAGCACTAAATCGATAAGGCCACCAAGCCCATTCCCCAAACCAACATCGCGCGCACACACACACACACACACACACACACATGTGAAGTTGATTTCCTGCTCGGTTCTCACAATGTCTGTCACGATTGGAAAACCCTCTTTACGGGAAAGAAGATGAAACAAGTCTTCAAACAGCTGATCTTTGTTGATGCCAGAGTTGATGCCAGAACCAACGAGTGGGAATCAAGTTCGTGCTTCGAAAACGGAGCCACGGCACCGCTTTGACTGTTGATTGCTTCCTGAGCCAAGTTACCAAGGCATGACTGGCACCCCATTCTGCTTCCAGCTCATCTCTGGTAGCTACAAACACACACACACACACACACACACACACCCTGACGCTTGGCTGGAATTCACTCGTCGGATCTGAAGCAGTTTGCCGAGTAGTGAACTTTTCACTGCCGAATAGTGATATCAAGCCGAAAGAGAACCACGACGTGTTGGAAGTGCGCAATTTGAGGTGAAGTACCGTTGGAAGCCACGTCTCAGGCAAAAAAACACATGAACTAAACGAAGAAGAACAAGAAAGGAGAACCGTTTAAGGAGCAGGAGGATCACACAGACCCAACCACACAAATGCTTGAACATCCTCTTCAGACTTCTAGCTTCCACCAGACCTCAACATTTGCATCTGAACCATCCCGCTCCTGCTGCAAAACACCTGAAAGCCTCTCAAGCGCCCTGTACACAGATGTCGAGAACATTTGGCCCCCAGCCGTCACAGGTCGGACCGAAGAGGGCACAGGGCACCTACAACAGACGGAAAACTGTTCCCTTCACAGCGGGCGCTGGGGGGCCTCGGGCAGCAGAGCCTGTGTGTAGCTTCGTAGCGGCGAAGTGTGGGTTCTCTCTGAGATTTTGGTCGATTACTCAGCAATGGAGCCCAGATACTTTGGTCCGATGCAACTACTCTATAAATTTGTTACCATACTGGTTGACAACGGAATGGACTCTTTCTGATACCAATACCAAGCCGGCATACCATGAGCACCTGCAGGTAAGCTTGCATCATGCCAGGGGTGCAAGGTGCGAAAGTCTTTGCCTTTTGTTTTGATAAAATTTCACTGAGGGCGTCAAGCTTCTCGCATCAGCTCGAGGCCTCCGGAGAGTCAACACGGCGCATCGGCTCAGGGCAGACGGAGACGTGGTCGTAGATGATGCAGTTAAAGGAGCCATACAGCCTCGACAGTGGGGAGGAAGTGTTCATGCTTATACCAGCTCCGGGCAGACTATTCCGTCATCAGCTATGCACATTAGCTGGCTCTCTTGGCGGAAGCAAAGCTGCACATCTTTCAACACTCAATGGCTTTACCAAGTCTCGGCGTTCAATTGGGAGGGTTTGGTGTTCATGCCCTCAAGGAACTGTGAACTCGCAAACCCAACGACATCCGAAGTTCTCTGCGCAGCACCCGGAATCTAAGCTCAGCACCCGTCGTTCAAGTAATAGCCTGGGCGCGACTAGCCGGCTCCCGGTCCATACACCCCGCCCCATCTACTCTTCAAAAAACGGGGCGCCAGAAGAGGGCGAAGAGAGGGCAAGAGCAGCAAGCAAAGCAGCGAGCAACCATAAAAAGGTGTTGCCCCCCCCCCAAGGTTGTGAAGCCCGGTCGCGACAGACCTGCTCTCCACTTCCATCGGTCGCCGGCAGCTTGGCTTTGGCATAGACCTTCCTGGGGACGTTTACAAGGGACTGTGACTGGGTGCTGGCAGCAGCGGCTTCATTAAACCTGCAAAATGGGCGAGGAGTTAACTTGAGCTGGTCCTTGTTGTGTCCAGGGTTCTTTTCATCGGAATCCTCTACTTCCTCAGCCTGGATTTCCTCTATACTTGGAATAGCAAACCTCTGTTGCCTCCATATGATATTGTTCTATTTTCTGCGAAACCTCTATCCTCTATATGTCCCCTCTATTTCCTCTAGGGGGCCTGCGGTGGAACGCGGTTCCTCTATATTTCCTAAGTTTTTTTGTCCAGCAAACTCTCAGGTCCTCTTTCAAAGCATGATCATATTCATAGCCAAAAAACTCAGGACAAGGGAGGCCCAGCCCAGCCCCCCGCCCCGCCGCCCCCCCCCCCCCCAAAATAAAAAAGAAAAAACGAATAAACAAAAAATGCAAACACATGCTCATATCACGGGTTGAAAATGGATTCGTATGTCTTTGAACGCGAATGCTCTTCATGGCCTGATCTTCTGAAAAAGATGGCTTGGAGAGGGGGCCGCCCTTCCATTTGGCAAACACAATGCTCGCATGACGGGTTTTGGTAAGGATTCGTTTGTGTTTTGATGCAGGCGTCTTAATGGCATGATGTTTGTTAAGCTTTAACAATGCTAGCTAGCAAGACAGGTACTAGCTTAATAGCGTTGAGCGCAGTGCCTCGTCGTTGCTGTCATCGTTGCCTTCATCTTCCCTTGCGGAATCCCTGCGACTTGAAGGCTGGAGGCCTTCGAAGCCCTGGCTAAATGGATGTCGCTAACGGCGTTCATGGCGCCAGTGACGCTAGTCTGCTTTGACCTGTTAGGGGGAGGGCGACTGCAAAGCCTTCACCACCCGTAAGGGCACTACAAATGCTGCTGGAGCAAAGCAATGCAATGGCAGAGTGGCTAGGCATAATGATACAGCTTCCATGAGCAGACCATCCAAAGAACTTTGTTTGGGCAGGTGGCGTGAGCAGGTGGCCGCTGTTGGCCGCAAAGAAACGGCCGGGCTCCGCGATGCGCATCAGCTGAAGGGGCTTCAGGACTTGGGACGTCGCAGTACTGTCGGGCCATGTCGGGCTGGCATTACGCAGCATGGAGACGTGGAGAGCTGGATGCCTTGGAGGTTCTGCCTCTGCAAACCCCCCACCTGCCTCTGGGAACTCGCATTCAGGAAACAGCCTTGCCAGCTTCTCTGCAATGACAGGGGCAATCCTTGGGCAGGATTCATGTGACACACCCGGTGATACTTTAGGCTCTACAGCAGAATCAGAGACCAAACTAAGAACACTCACAACATTGAAGCCAGGATGCGCTTCATAGCCTGCCCGATCACCTGGGTAGCCCCCACCGATGTCCAGCACCCGCAAATCCTGGCTTCCGAAGCGCAAACACAACGCTGAAAAGTTCTCAACGATCCCGGGCAATTCCCAAAATTGTTTGAACGGTTAAGACCCTTTTAAACACAGTAGAAAGTCAGTACCTCTGAATACCTCTGAGCCAACAGCATCCCTCGACACGCCTTCATCCCGCGTTCAGAAGCCATGCCTCAGTCGAGAGGGAAGCGAAAGCGCCTCTCCACAAGAGCTCGTTGCAGTTCCCTTGCCGGGGTGCGGAAGACCTCTCGGGCATCCTGGAGGGCCGGCTCGAAAGTCTCCGGGTCCTTGCAGCCTGAGGCTGAGAGGGTCTTCGGAGTCTTAAGGGCACATCAATGGCTCAATGGCCACTGGGTCTTCAAATGCTCCACTAACATTGCCATGGCACCAGAACCCACGTGGAAAGACCTTGGCATCTTGGAACAGCGTGCCACGCTGCCATGCAAAGAATAGGAGCCCGAGAGAGCAACTCTGCCCAATGGCCAAGGGGGCAAACCCAGAATCTAAGAGCGACACACCCCAGCAAGGTTGAGCTGAAGCTCCTGCGAACCAGAGTCTTTCAGAGCTCTACTGCAAGGAGTGCTTAGGGGCTGAGGATCCCATCGAGGCTCTGCAAAGGACAGTGGCACTGCTTCTGGCACTGCTTCGGAGTCCTTCCTCAAAAAGTTATGGGTTGGATTCGCATGATTCGCAATACCATAATATGCACATCCCCGGCTGGGCCTGGATGATGTCCAAAAGCGCCGACCAGTTGTCCCGCTTGGCCCCGAATTTCAGCGACATCGGGCACTGTGCCGAGGAGTCCTATGCAGGACTTAAAACGTTGTGTTCGGGCCGCGGTGAAGTTGCTGGTTACTGCTGCCGGCCACATCTGGGCTTTGCCTTCCTGTGAAGCTACCATTTCCTGCCTTGATCCTGCACCTCCCACGAGTAAGCTGTCCTTTTCATAACCCGAAGGTATCAGTGTGTGGAACTGAACCAGCCATGTCCATGTCCTCGCACACCACACGGAGCAGCAGCTGCGCCTCAGGATAAACGGCTGCCACCTGAGGTCAGCCGGGAAAACTGGCAGGATTCGCTTCTGCCTATGTTTGCCAGTAGTTCAATTGTGAAGCGTGTTCGAGCTCCATGCACAGTATTTACATATCTCAACGACCCAAGCCATGCTCGTTCCGCCTCCTGCATGGCCCTGTGTGGCCCCCGGCGCCCCTTTTCCCCCCAGCCCCCCTCTGCCGGAGCCCGAGCACTACTCGAACGACCCAAGCCATGCTCGTTCCGTCCTGCTCTCCACCTCCCCCCTCCGCCTCTCCGTCCTCCTGCTATTTTTTTAAGTTATTTATACCAATATAGAACTAGCAGACTCCGATCTGGCCACCATTCAGAACCTGTATCTCCAGAGTTCACGGACCGGCAAAGAGCAGGCAAGCTTGGAGATCCCGAGAAGGCGGGACAACTCTCCGAAAATTCGGCAGAAACCTACGGGAGACACCGCTGCCACAGCCGCAGCGGTGGCTAACGAAAAACCACGGCGTCACGACAGGCGGCTGAACAGGCGGCAAGGCCTCTCTCGCCAAGGGCAGAGGAAACGATGCATGCCGAATAGGCAGCCAATCATATTCGAGCGAACGTTTCAGAGCAACTAGCCATGCATCGCATGCGATGATCACAAATGCTGGCTGCTGAGAAACTGCACTGTCGGCCACGAAAAGCAAAAAGGTGCAAAGGCCCCCCCAGGTCAAACATCAAACCGGGCCTTTTTCGAACAGTTTGGGAGGCAAGCCCGTGCACAGGGCATAGGTTCAAGGCACCCCACTTTCAGCTAGTAAGAACTCAGAAACCGTGGACCTACACACGGGCTCCCCAAATCAAAGATGTCCGAACTGGCCAGTGAAACGGCCAAAGGTCGAGGAGCAAGCCGGTGCTCACGAAATCTGTGGGGGCCGACGAACTTGCGAGAGCGGAAGCCAAAGTCCAAACAGAGCAAGAGACACCCCGGGCCCGCACTGGCCTTCACTCGCTGCTCACTTGCTGAACTCAGGTAGAGCAGCCCCAAAATACAGAGAAGCCCCGAAAACCTGCGCAAAGTTTTGCAAATTTGGGCTGTACATGCACTGTGCAAAATCCCGGCTCCTCTCACCGCAACCGCAACAATCCATGAGCTCGCAACCTTCCGCAGCTCCACGTCGTTGTCAAAAGACATCAGGCTGATGCCTGTGGGAGATCACGGACATTCCGAGTGCCAGTCAGACTGACATTGTCAGATGGATTGTCAGCAACCCCTCTCATGACTGCGGTGCAACCCTTAACAGCCCTAGCACCCAATCACCGCCCAAGACCTTGAACAATCCATGACATGCTTTGTAGATTCTTTCCGGATTCCAAGGCTGAGGAGACGATTTTGGGTTCGGAAGCTCAGGCATGTCCACAATTATCCGCACATGAACGGCAGGCCTTGGGACTTGGCAAAGGCAATGTGCGATCGTGGCTTGCATGGATGAGAGTACCTGAGAAAGAGGTCACAGTCCGGGTCCAACACACTGAAACTTGCCTGATGCTGCAAGGACTTGCTACGGCTGCGTGGCAGTGGGCCGTTGTGGCGTGTTTGGTCAAAACTTTCTCAACTGGCCAGGATGGCTTCCGTCAAAGGCAGGCCGACTCCAGCATGAGTTGCAGCCAAGGTGCACAATGTCAGCAGGGCTGACACCCAGCTCCAAAACTGTACTGATCTCCTACAAGAGGGGCTGAACGTGCACAAGTCTAAGTCTTTCTTTCAAGGCAACATTTCAAGACTCAGCAAGTGCCACGATTCTCCTGCATCGTTGCGCAGTCAAAGCCGCAACCTCCATCTCGGAGCTGCTTGATGATCTCAAGGGCAGACACATGTTCACAAAAGACTGAGCGTGCTCAGCAACACCAAGCACAAGAACCCAGCCCAGGATATGCGATTAGTGCGTGTCGCCTGCTTGTTGGGGCAGCACTTCACGGCATAGTGGGGCCGCACATTGGGCAGGTGCTTCCTTCACTGCAACCTTTTAGCAACCTGTGACATCATTCGTTCCACCCTGCTGGCCTCACAACTTCAACACTCACAAAAAAAGTGTAAAACACCTTCCAATGGCGGAATCAAGGGTCTGCCACAGCTGGATCTGGCTTACAACCTGGCACCAACGTATGCCAGGAGAACCGGAGACTACCACTAAGCTGGAACGAAGGCAACCTAGTCTCAAGCACACGGTCAGCGACACAGGCATTGAAGCAGAGCACCAGCCAGCATCTACTATGCTAGGGGCCGCAGCTACTGAAGCAATGCGCCCAAGGTACGTTGCCAAGATCTATGAGCTGAATGGGCCTTGGTGACACAACTCCGAAGGTCATGCAGTCAAGCCTGAAGGGTATTCCACAAACTATCAGGGCATGAGCCGCACACTCGTCGGCGGAGCTCCCGAAATGCTTCAGCGCGTGCTCGGCCGCAACTCGCACAGAGTCCTGGCATGTCTCTGCGACACGACAGCAAAGCAACGTGACCGCACAAATGCCGATGTCGGCTGCATGGGACGGCGCTCGGTTTCCTCAAGGCGATGGATGTTTTGCGTGGCGCTCTCTCTCGCTCGCTCTCTCTTTCTTCCTCTTCTTCCAATCTTCTCCTTCATGCAAGCATGAAGGCTACCCGGCTAGCCTCTTCCCTCCCCCCGAGGGGGTCGCCCTGATCCTTCCTTGCCCTCCCTTTGTGGAGAGGGCCCCCAAGAATCACTCGAGCGCGTGTGGCGGTGTAGCGTGGTTCGGTCATGCCGCATCCGTTGAGCTCGCCCGCAGCTCTCCCCCTCTCTTCTTTTTCTTCTTCTTCTTCTACTACACAGCGAAGGCACCCACCCCCCCCAAGAGAGGGCACCGTCCTCTCTCTCTCTCTCTCTCTGTCTCTCTTCTTTGTCTGCCTCTGAGGCTACATGAATGCCGCATGCAAGCTCTCCTCGCCCGGGAGGAGACCTTTGAGGACAGTGACCTTGGACCTCGCAAGCTCACAGTCGCCACCACACACAGTTCGCACAAGACTCGCATTGCAAAGGCAGACCGCTGCAGGCCTTGTGAAGTGCATGAACTGATGTGAGATGACCCCCAAACCCTCCCAGCCGCATCGGGCTGCTCCAAGCCTCTTCCGATGCAGCTTCGACTCCGGCGCGATGCAGCTCGATTTGCTCGATTTGCCGGTGCCTGAAACTTGAAAGAAGGCATTGAGACGTCCAAAGATAGCAGACAGCTCGCGTCAAGTAACTACCTCGCTCCACCTCGTCTTGCCCAATTGACCACGTGCGGGTTCCCGGGGAAAGTCCACACACTGCATGAACCGCTCTGAGCGAAACACGCAAACAAAAGTTGCCTGCAACAAAATGCAACACATTTCAATGTTCCAACTACGACACTCCGAAGCCCTCGACCGTCATGCCATGCACGCCTTTCTTTGTCGGGAGGGCCAACACAGCCTCCTGCCACGTCGGGAAAATCAAGGCTTTACGATCGCCGGTCTTCCAAGCAAATCGAGCTCCTGGGCATTCTCTGGGCCGGTGATGTGCCGGTCCTTGTCCATGCCTCTTGGCGGGTCTTGGCGTTCATGCGCCGCTACCTAGCTACCTCTTTCTCGGACGAAATCCATGTGGTCAAAAGCATATACTGCCTGGCAGAAGGTCCTGTCATACCCCGGAAAAATCGAGCAACCAGATGCCCTTACCTGTCGCCCCACGATGCTCCATGCGAGATTCCATTCAAGATGGCAAACGTTTCGATACATGGAACAACGTTCTGTCTGCCGAAAGTTCCCCTGCCAAATGCTGCGGTGCTGCCTGCCACGGCACCTGCGGATGCCTCAGAGGCCGGGGCAGTGCGGGGTACTACCGGGCGCTGAGGGCTGATGAGGGCTTGAGGCTGGTGGTCAGAAGAAACAGCGGACCGGATGGTGCCCAAGCTTCCGAACACCCTCCAGATCATCAAAGAGGCCATTGCTGCTTCGCACGGCCGCACCACTGAATCCATGGCACGTTTGTTGCAAAAAGGTTTCAACGAATGAGCCTTTCCAGGCCGTGGAGTTGTGTCAAACAAGAAGTTCTCAATGGTCCATGTTGGGACTGCTGAGTTGAACGTTGAGGCTGAGCAAGGCCTGCCCATCAAGATATCCATCCGATTTTCATGCACATTTCTGGGCCTTGCCCTGCGGAGTTTTCGGGTGGCACGGGCGCCGGCGCCGTCCCTGCAGGTGCCCCAAGAGGGCGTCGGGTCGGCTGTCCCCTGCCTACGCTTTGATCCAAGTTGGTGGCATCACAAATCCAGCGAACCTTATGGATGAATAAGAATGGCCAAGACGCCTCAGATCGAGTTTGGTATGTATATGTATATACAAATATATACATATTTTTTAAATTAGTCTTCTTCACTGATCGAACTGAAGTCGGGTACCCGCCATCACAACTGGAGAGACATCGAGATCACATACTGGCGTTGCCATCTGTTCTCAACTTTTGCGGGGCCGGTTTCAGAATCGCACCATGATGCTGGGGACATATTGGAAGCGTGGGAACTGCCAGGTCTACGATCTGCATCACTGGCCAAGTCCGAAGCACTCCCCCGAAATCCAAATCACTATATCACTTTGCCTGCTGATTGGTAAGAAACAATCTATTTAAGCAACGTAACCACAAACGTACAAATCACATGTCTCGGAAACCCAAACCATCAACCCACCAAAGTCTGACTGAATATTTCACTATGCAAGCAAACAACATCTTTAACGAAAAGCCAACATTTATAACTTGCCACACCTGCAGCAGGTCCTCGGTCTCTTGCAAGATTGCTGTGGGCGGCTCGCCTGCCTGGCAGGATCCGGAGCACAAGTTGTATGAACTCATTCCTTTACAAAAGCACAGAACCCATGGCCGCATTCACATTGGTACAAGCGCACTTGGCCGACACAATCCAACAGCAAATGGCCACCTGAAACCAGCTCCGCCCTTGCTGCACAAGTTCCATACCTTTGCAACGCAGCCCTGGCTTGAGCCAAGTGCTTCGGCACTAAGATTTGTCAACATGGTGGCTACGCATATTGTGCACGGACATCTGCGCATAGCAGTAGGTTGTTCATCCAACATGCTCCAAGTAAAACTTGGTCGGTTGGGCAGCACGCCAGCGATTCTTTCCTGTTTTTCACGTGATGTCCTCACATGTAAACAGCTGCAACGCGAAATGCACGAAATCACTTCGCAATTCAAACAACCGGAAAAACTTGTGCACAACATTTGACTGTGACACAGCATCTGTTGCTGAGTGTCAAAACGTATAAAACCTGTGCGACTCATTACAAACTTGTTTCAAGAAACTCACCACAGCCTGCCCACTTCCTGTTGCCAGCCAACATTTTGTGAGGAGTTTGCTCTTCGACCGTGCTTTTAGCCACATAACCCCAAACATGCACAAAAGCACACTCCTTTCTCACTCCTTTCTCTATCGGCGATGCTCGTGCATATGCGTTCAAAACAATTCAAAGCGAAGGGCTCATATCGTTGGCACCCCGCGCTAGTGTGATAACGGTTATGATAGAAATAGTGACGGCGACAGCGACTGCGACAGCGGCTGCGTTGGCCATAGCAGCGTTTTTTCTCCTGACGTTAGCGCCCCCGTATGCAAATGGTGGAAATGACCGCATTTCTGGCTGCTTTGCAGTGAGCAGCATGTTCACAGTTGGCACATGCGGTAAATTACAATCGGACCTGTAGTGGTTTGTTAAACGGTTACTCTAATGGCTAGTGCTCGGCCGCGATGGCAGGAGTCTGTTTGTTGGCGAGACTTACTCTTGATTGCGATGGAACTACTTGCGTTAAACAAATTGCCAGACTCTGGATTCTCACTTGAGACGTCTAGCGCATGCTGTCGTCCAGGTTCTGCAACACACCATCCACTGTGACAATGCAACAGCCTGTGCTGCCTAGGTTGTCGAGGTTAGGGGTCAGTTGAAGGCAGGTGCACTGTTGTCCGCGCATGTCTGGAAATGTCAGACTCGGAATGTGCGCGAAAATGGTCATGGTTTGTTGGTCACTTGTGTGCTCTGGGCACTGCAAACATGTTCAACTGTGCTTTATGTGAACTATCCTTTGGAGGGGGTGACTACGGCTTTTGCATTGTGATTTTGTAGAAACTTTTGTTTGCCCATTGCACCATTTTATCATGCCATGACTGTTGCGCCGATGCAGCTGCGCTTACTTGTGTGAAAAGTTTTCACTGCCTTTTGAGCCGGGCCGCCTGGTTCTCCAAGACCTATTTAAGCTTCATAGATCTTTCCAGTCAGAAACGCAAATCTTGGTGTGGTTGCCTCGGGAGCCAACCATCAAAAAGATTTTCTGCATGGGGGGTGCTCACACCTTCTTTTTCCGATCCTGCAGTGTTGGTGGTGTGTTTTCGGTTGGCGCCTGATTGAACTTCGCTTTAAGAACTGAATCCGTACGGACTAGTGACGCATGTCCGCCTGTCGAGCCAGCAGCTACGCAGCAGGGGGGAAGTGTCCAACCGGAACATGCTATGCCGTTGCGTGCGGGCAGCAAACGCACTTGTGCACGTACATCCACGTTCACTACCCGCACTAGTCCGTTACGAATGTTCAGGCACTTCGTGCTATAAGGAAGAACCCTGCACGCCCTTCCTTTTACAAGCTGGCGCGGCAGTGCTTCAGCAGAACAAACTTCGGGCAAAAGCACCCGGGCAAGAAAGGTGAAGAGAATGCTGGTCCAGAGCACCAAGTATTTCAGGCGGCAAGCTTGACCCGAAGGGGGGAAAAGGCCAGCATTCTTCAAGCAGACGCCAGCCAATTGGATAGATCCAGTTCCAACGGATATGTATGGCAGCAAAAGGATGTAGGCAGGGCAGTCCAGGGGACTTGGCAGCGTGCAGATTCCGAGAATCCCAAAAGCTGAGGATCATAACCACGACTGAGGCTATCTGCTAGTTCGTTGCGGAACCCCGGGACGTGGTCTATATGGACAGATATATATTGGCGTTCTTGCAGAAGAAAAAAGGACCGCAGCAGGCCACACATGCCTTTAGCCTTTCCAGGATGCAGCATCTGTCGCTGAATTATCACAACGAAACGCGACATGCACAGGCGGATGTCCAGCAGGCAGCAGGCAGGCTAAGAGGTGCAACAAGGTGCACTGAGCGAGAAGTTCCCAAGCAGCAATGTAGTGCTGAGGAGCATGATCGGCCGGGAACCATGGAAACAGTGCATGAAGCTCGGATTGAGAGAAGCTAGCTTGGAAGAAAAGACATTGGCTGCCGGGCAAGCGAACGAAACCACCCAAGCCTGCACTAGTTGCGCCAGCGCAAGCATCAGCAAAGGCCTCACATTCAAAATGGGGCCAAAACAACAGGGATCTGAAATCGGTTCGTGAGCGGCAGATTTGGAGCCACATGTCCATGACTGCACGTGAAGCATCGGAAATGACACGGTCAGGGTGCTCGAGATCAGAGATTTGAGCCCAAAGACGGCGAGCAGAGGGTGGGAACTGGGAACTGGGGTAGTTCCTCTTTGGATTGCACGGCGGTTTAAGCCACTCGGAACAAGCGGCTACCTAGAGGAGCGGACGCAAGGCCTGAGGGCACCGAGAGGGGCACGTGCACCAGTGGAGGGCAGTATTGTGACACAAAGGTGCCAGAGACGGTCGGAACGCACGGAAAAGGTTGGAGAGCCACAGCAGTTTGCCAGTGAGCTTTCCAACGTAGTAGTAGCAGACAGTTTGGCGGACCGGTGGCATTGCCGGAGCAGAGCCAACAGCTGTTGAAGCTTTGCATGTTCCAGACGGACCGTAAAGGTTCGAAAGTCCAGCTGCCATCCGATCCACACGACAGAGGATGACAGTTTCGCCTTGTGCCAGCTCATCGGTACGTTCAAAACCTGCAGCAGGACAACCAACAGTGCGGCAAGTAACGGAGCCGAAGATTTTTCGAGGACGGAGGAATGGTTGATCCACCAAAAACGGTCAGCGGCGGATGTCCAGCAGTGTGGGATTCGCAGAACGGTTAGGTAGGTGCGTGGCGGCGGTAACACCAGAGACAGAACTGTCAACTAACCAGCTTGGACGGTGCGCTTTTTTTAGGTCCAGGTATGTCGTACACCGGCGGGGATGCTATGCAGAAGCTGCGGCATGGTTTCCGTGCTAAAGGTGAGGTTGGCTGTGCCAGAAGCTGCGAAAAAGACGTACGCGCAGATGCGTGAGCTTGTTCTTGTCGACCTTATCAGGATGAAGCTGGCGCTCGCCGCAGCTCTTGGCTGCGCAAGGAGTTTGCGAAGCACACCGTCACGCAGTTGCGGGCGCTTGCTGGGGGCGCGATGGTGCGCGCATGCGTTCCTACGCAGGTTGGGGTCATGATGTTTGTGGCTTGCTTGCTTTTTTGGGCTCCACGTTCAAGCGGCGCATGCGCAGCTATTAACTAGGGCAGTTTCAGGCTTGTCTTGTCGACTTTTGATTAGGATGAAGCGCTGCGCCGCAAGAGCTGAATCGGTATGCCTCGCACAGCCCAAACTGGACAAGTTGCGCGCCCAGCTACTTA